TTTAAGCTCTCCGTATCAGTCTTCAGTCACTCTCTCACCCCGGGGCATTCTGTACACAGCAGTCTGGGGCCAGGTCTTTGAACAAAGCCACACTGCAGCCATCACGTTACACCTTACAGACGTTTAATGTCTTCCTCGTGTTTAATGTGCACAGAAAATGTGTTCTTAAAGAAAAAGCCCCACACAATTAGTGTATAAGGCTGTTAGACTATATCTTTCTCTAAGAAGATTCAAATACAAATGAGAAAGAAACATTACTCATACAAAAAGAGGTGAATACTCCAACTCAACATGTGGAACCAAATCTTAAAGAGAATGAAGAAGGGAGTAAGGCACAGCAGGACTAGATTAGTGTATTTTCTTCAGTAACTATACCAATGTATTTTATGATTTCTCCCTTCCTTTTAACATTATATAAATGGATTCCTTTAAATCGCAATACAGAAGAGGCACAGACTGTAAAAAACCCTGAAAAATTCGCATAAAGTTTTTTAAAACCATGTAAAGAAGGCACATGACCGTGTCAAGATTCTAATAAAGTCCATACCTGCTTATAAGTAAAACTTCAAAGAAAATGTGTGACTGCAATTGGGACTAATACACAGATCTGGCTAACATCCAGTTAGTACATAAGAAGCTCAAGAACAGTGCCACCATACTTTGGAGTTAAGACTGCCATTGGAATTAATCCACTTATCAAATGAAAGTAGGAAGAACCAAACAGAATCTATTAAATCTGGCAATTGGAAGACATACAGCCTAATTCATGTTATAGACATCTATAAAAATGATGCATCAACTGACCATGTAGAGGAAGTGGAAGGACCCAAACTGTTCAAAAACGTGTCCAGCACTTGGTGAGGAAGCAGGTGCCTTACTGGATGCCTTGTTACTATACACAGCTCAGTGACACTGGTTGTCAAGCTCACAAGGTCAACTCTCCTTCATTATTATCTGCTCAACATTTTCCACTTATAAAATTTGATTATCCATAGAGATTTTTCCCAAAGAAGTCCCAAAGAAGGAATGTGATGAGCATCTTGACATAAGGAACTGGCTCTGTCCTCTAACACTGCCTTCGGCATTAAGAGATTTGAATCAGGCATCTGGTTTTGCCCCTTACTGCTGGTACCCGCGGCATTCACAGACATGCCTGTTCAAGAGGGTTCATGTGAAGTTACTGAAAGGGGAAGGTCAGGATGAGGTATAAATTCTGTCCTAGGAAATCCTGCCTGAGTGGGTAGTTTCTTCCTCTCTCACTATTTTGGTACAGAACTTTCAGGATCACAACAGGGTCTTAGTTTGCTTTTAGATACAACATCTGTGATTAAAGAAATTGCTATAAAATAGAATAAGCTATAGGGACTGGAACTGAATCAGCACTGACTCCATGACAAAACTGGGAAGCTCATCTAAAAAAACTAAGCTCTACTAGATATTTATTTACTGTTATTCTAGCAAGAGAACACAGAAAAGGCAACCGATCAATCAGATACGCAGCTACTTGTAATAAACACTCATTTCATTCTGATATCTTAACTATGACTTTCTAATGATCATAGCCAGGTCAGCTGGGGTCCTTTTATTTTTATCTCAAAACTTGTGACAAAAGATCATTAAAGGGCATATGATGAAATGCTTGTATAAGGCTTAAGCCAACAAAAAATAAGATTAAAAATAGGACAAAAATGTCAAGTAATGCAAGGGCAAAAAAGGGATTCTGAATTTCCTATCAATTTTGTTATACTTTCTGCTGTAACTGAGACTTTTCTGAACACAGAAATATTTAGTGTACTTAAGCACAGTATTTCAAGAATGCATTTCTAAAAATAAAAATTAAGCAGTTGACAGCTTTTCAATTATTTTAGGTTTTAAATTGAGATGAACCATCAGACACATGACTAAGATAGCAATTCTGATAATTACTGGATGAGGCAGGCACCTGTGTAGTTGGGGCTGCAAAGGAATTTTTATTAGGTTGATAGAAAACAGAGTTGAAATCATTTTCTGAATTTCAACCAATTTAAATGAATTATCTGACCTATGTTATCCTATGTTATCCTAAATTTCTCAATGCAGCTGCCAGAAATCTCTTTTCCAAATGGAACAACAGATGGTTTTGAACAATACTGCAATACAGCAATGCTCAGTTTTTCCAAAGTGTTTTTCTCTTGCTAAAATTATAAACATGATTGAGAAAATAATTTTCAGATTTTTCTGAAAGACATGCTATTTTCAAAGTAAAAGGCAAAATTTAATATCCTAATGAATTTTTTAGCATTATCTTTGCTAGTTTTTATCTAAAACAACACATGGAAGAGTGTAACCTAGCCTCGTTTTGCAGTAATGTTAATCCCATAGAGCTTGCAAGCAGTTCAAAATGCTTCTCTCCATGTGATCATTTCCTGCTCACAGTATGCAGTTAGTGCAAAACTCTAGCACTCTAGGAGGATTAGACAAATGGGCAATTAAGCCTGATGTGAGAGATACTTTAAACTTTTAAACCTTTGTAAATAATTGAAAAACAACTCATTCCTTCAAACATCATCATGAACAAAAGAAATACAGCCAATTCCAATGAGGCTAACCCCCAGAGAAGCTTAACCTTTCAGATGAAATCAGCTCGAGTTCCTTCGACTGTTCTTGGCAGATGACTCAGCTTCAAACTCAGTGATTTAATCAAGAATCTGCACGTCTGGTCCCTCCTTCCTTTCCTAGTTCATTCTCTCCAGGGCTGTGCAATGATATGTATTCTTTGGGTCTGGACAGTCTGTCCTGGTACCTACTCACAACCTGGGAGATCCTGAGTAGGGCAATCTAAACTCAACCTCAGATTCCATTTTCAAAATGCTAATACTGACCTTACAGGGTGGCTGTGGACTTAATACACTTAACACACACAAAGAACTTCAAACACACCATGTACGGGGTAAGTGCTCAGTGAGTGTGGGGCTTCCCTGGTGGCTCAGGTGGTAAAGAACCTTCCTGCAAGGCAGGAGACCCAGGTTCCATCCCTGGGTTGGGAAGATCCCCTGGAGAAGGGAGTGTTATTCTTGCCTGGAGAATCCCATGGACAGAGGAGCCTGGTGGGCTACAGTCCATGGGGTCGCAAAGAGTCAGACACGGCTGAGCGACTAACAGAGTCAGTGTAGCTATTATTATCACCCCTCTTCTCTGGTCTTGGCCAAAGAGACGTCTCTGTGATGCTTAGACCACTACAAGGCCCAGATCTATGTCACCGCCCTACATTCTTAGTCTCACGCTCACCCTGGACCTTCTCCCTTTGTCCACGAACGTGTTGCCTCTCCTGCTTGTGAGCAAACTGCTCACAAACACAAAACAAAACAATAAAAAACCTCACACGCTGCAGCCAACACCCTTCGTAGCTATTTCATTCTTTCATACAAAACATACTTTTTAAACTACTATTCATTTCCTCTACTTTCTCACCATCTAGTCTGACCTTTTGCATTTTCACTCCTGAAGCTGCCTTCTGAACATCACCTAATCACTGAATCCAGCAGCCTTTTCTCAGTCCTGTTTCTCAACCTTCCTGCAACACCTGATGGGATCTCCTTCCTCATAAAAACTGTTCTGCTTGCTGCCCTAGATCTGCCTCCCTGTCTAACTGCCATGTGTCTGCCTTAGCTGCTTTCTTTTCTTACACCTTCCATCTACACTATACCCCAACAGTTCTGCCCTTAGCCTTGCGCGTCTTTCCGCATTCTCCCGCACTCGCTCCATTCCTATTATTTCACTGTCTTGGGACCCCACCCCAGGCCCTATCCCTTAACTTCCAAACCGCCACCTCTCTTCTGGCCACCAGCCCCTCCCAACTCTGCCCCTGCCCTTCCCAGCGCGCAAGATGTCTATTTGGTTTTCCACCCACATCTCAAACTTACCGTGTTCTGCATCAAATCTATCTTTTCCTTCTGAATATTTCCACTTTGGTTAATGAAGGGGATGATCATTCTTTGAACTACCAAGGCCAGAACGCCTGAAGCATCTTTAACTTCCTCCCTCCCTAAAGCGCATCATAGACGGGGCAGCGCTGACGGGCGGCGCTCTGGAGACCGACGGTGCGAGTGTCTCTCCTGACTCTTCACTTCTGCCGGCGACCCTGGGCCAGTCCGCACGCTTCGGCATCCACGGCACGGCTTGTGCAGTTTACATGGGAAAGCGTATGTAAGGGCACAGGGGGCGACCATTTGGCAAGCCACAACGACGATGACAGAGGAGGAATCTCAGTGGCCTCGGCGGTGCTCTCACCCACCTCGCTCCCAGGACGTCCCACACACACTTCACGCTGTTTCACGTGAGCGGAAACGCAGAAGGCAGGCTTGCTTGTCAGTGTGGAAGTGCTTTCGAGTTTTCATTAACCTCAACCAAGGCAATCTCAACCAACCCCCAAACTCAAGACCTTCTTACATATCAATGTGCTTTTCTCTCCTAGCATCCTAAATAAGAACTTTGTGAGAATTCAGGAATTGACCTTATTTGAACCCAATTTCAAATAACATTCTGCAAGCCGTATGGTTAGGAATTAAAACCATTCTCCATTTTTAATAACGCAGAGTACGTTATCAGTAATGAGCCATGAAATCTTTGTTGTTAGTACTCAAACCAAACAACCACCTTGCAATCCCCTGCCCACACTTCCCCAGGAACCAAAAACTAAATTTAATTTTGGCTTAAGAAAGATGTAAAGATTATAACAATTACTGGGAAAATATCAGAATCATTTAATGTGTTACAAAATCAATACAATGTTATCATTTGCTCTGTGTTATCACTGAACTTCTATCTAGCCTTGCAAGAAAATAGGTTTGATTAGAACTTTTTTTTATAAATGTCCATATAAATATTTACCACATTTAATTAAAGGTCTAGGGGACCACTACCCGCAGCAGCAGCTGCCCTGAGAGAAGCATATCTACGTCTTAATTAGCTGCCTCTGGTTAGTCATTTCTACAGAGGAGGAGGAGGAGAAGGAGGATTACCGCTAAGGACTGGAGCTCTCTGGTCTCTTCCTCTGCAGCTGAAGCATGATAAGACAGAACCTACAGGGCGAGAACAGAAGGAATGCATGTTATACAAGAGAGGAATACCCAACACAGACCACAACTTCAAGCCTGGGATTCTCCCAAGCCTTCCTGCAGAGGTATCTAGACTCCTCAGAACATTGTATCTTCTTTGCTGCTTTCTTCAACAGAGAGAAAATCTTGGATTTTTATTCAAATGCTTCTTACAGAAACGGAAAGTTATACTCCCTGTGTTCAAAGAAAACTGTCACTTTTCCTCTGACAATGTTGATACAACAAACACATTATTTATAAGTCACACTATTCGCTCAAACTTGGCAGAAAATTCTGTGTTGCTTTTCTTAAACAAAAATACTGACTTTAGCTATTTTACTGGTGTACTGAACCAAGATAAAAGACTTCTGCATAAGCTGACATTGTAATGTTGATATTAGGAAGAAAGCAGTCTAGAAGTGGCTCTTGGATGAGGCCTGTAACCACTGTAGAATTCATAAGGAAAAACGGCATAGCAGAGAGATAAATGTCACACAGATTCAGGGATACTTTTCCACTCACAGGATTCAAGAATGGAAAAGAACAGAAGTGGCCTATAAATCCTATCTGTTAACAGCAGAGGACACCTCAGCCCAGGGAGTCTCATCACTTGGCTGTGAGCTCACACCCAGTGAGAAGAGGGCCTGGGACCCAGCTTTCATCTCCTAATCTCGTACACTTTTCAACATCCTGGTGGAGTTACAAGAAGATAGTAAGGCAGATTTACTATCTTCCTATAATTTAACATGTGAATCATTAATTCCCATTTTCAAAACCGATAACTTCCAAATGATGGGACAGTATTTTAGATGTTCTTCTAAACCAGGGTAGTTAAATTGTCATGTTAAATAGACATGTTAAATTGTCTATCATATTAAATATTTTTAAAAGTTCATTTTTGACAGAGTTAACACAGACTTACTAAAATCTCTTAAAGTTTTAGGGTCAGTGATAAAAAGGTACCTCATTTTCAGATTTTAAACAGTGAGTCAAGTTATTCAGTGGCCAAACCAGTTTTCCTCGAACTAGTTTTTAAAATTGTAAGCAATTAAAAATCTAAAGTCAAATGGTAAGTATGTCTCTATACTGTGATTCAGAACATTACAGTACGGTAATACATGTGACTTGTCTTACGGTTTGAGCCATTAATCACTAGGAAACCTAGGGAACCTCGGAGCTGCTGTTTCCCGCTGCCATGAGACTGACAGGTCACAGCTGCTGACACCAGGGGCGGCGGTCTGTTGAGAAAGGCTAAGACGGTGGCCCTGAACTAGTCTAGTATAAATCAATGCAATGCAACATGGGCAAAGGAATAAAGGAATAACATGACACGCTAAGTTTAAAAAATTAATTTTATCACACGCTGAAGATAAAAACAGCACCATACTCATAGGGTTGTAAGGATTAACTTTCGCTAGTACATGTGAGAACACAGAGTAAGCATTTGATAAAGGTTAGCTATTTACTGTTGTTTTACTGTCATTATAATGATGTCTTCTAGCTCAAAATAATTCCCAAAGAAAACATAAGGGATTATGTCCCTAGATTTTATCCAATGCCTTGGGAGAAAAGATTTTCAAGGTTAAATCTGTGATCATAGATATGATTTCCTACAATGAATTGAAATTAGTATATACTAAGTTAAAGTACAAGTACTCATTTTTAACTGAAATAAAACTACAGTGTAAAAGCAGAAACAAACCTCAGTGAGGAAAATACTCAGAAACTTTGAACAAAATTATACCTAGGATTTGTCTCGAAATAATCAATGGATTAGTAGGGAAGAATAGAGCAGAGAAGTGGGCAAGAGTATGGATGGAATGATAGTAGCCACAGGTCAATAATTATTGAAGACAGCTAATGAAGACATGGGGGCTTCCTAGTTATCCTCTCTACTTCAGCATTATGTTTGAAATTTTCCAAATAAGAAGTATGTTTAAAAAGAGATTAATTTCTAATTGGTAGCTGGCTTAGAGTCAATTCTTCAGTACATCATAGAAACAGTAAAAAAATATGTTAAAGATTGTATATACACATGCACACACATGTACATACATATGTATGCATACATTTAATGTAAAATATATGTATACATGTGTGTGTGTGTGTGTGTGTATTTGAAACAGATTTCTACTGATTTCTAATCCAAAGTCTCTTATGTAGTACTTTACTAAAATTATTTGTAGTTTTATATTCACATTAGAAAGTATACCATCTTGGGTACTGGTAAACAGCTGGAGGAAAAGTTACAATCTGTAACTCAAACATTGATTTCTACTGATCTCTACTGGCTAAGAGCAGGCAAACACTAAAATATATTTCACACCAGTGTGTGAATGACTAGGGAATGCCCTTTCTGAAGTCTAACTCCCTAGACTGGTCTACGATGTAAGAAATTTCCATCTTGCACAAAGTGAATGCTCTCAGGCAGTCAGTGAGACGTCTGGAGACGGCTGGCCCACGTGGGTAGGAGCGTCCTGCTTGGGAGGGAGTCTTGTCTGAGGCCAGGCCCCAGGCCAGTAGTTCACACACAGAATCACCTGGGGGAGGCTGGTAGGAACACACAGATTCCCAGCCTCCACCCAGGACATACTGAATCAGAATTTTCTCAAGATCCACAATTCTGTAATTTGGAAGAGTTTTCCCTTTTCCTCATTTCTGATTCTGAGTGCTTGGGATACCTGGTTTTGTTGTTTTGATGTGTGAACACAGCTGCTCATGAGGAGAAATGGGAGGCTGAGGCAGTGGAGAAAGGACAGACAGGGCGGGGACTAGCATCAGTGTGAGGAGCTCCTCACTAAGGTCCAAAGACCGCTTTCGGCTGAGAAGGCGGAGGACGGAGAGGGGCCCAGGGCCTGAGCTTTGATGTGGTCGTATGACCTTTGACAAGTTTCTCAAGTATGCTGGGTCTCAGTTTCCTTAGCCGTTTAGGTGAGGAGAGAGGAAGCACGTGGTTCTCGGCCGGTCACAGTGCTGTAACAGACCCCGAGCGCTCCGCAGGGAGGGGCGTCGGCCGAGAGTGCGCTCAGGGAGACCGAGGCGTCCTGCAGGAGCACCCACCTCTAACGTGACCATTTGCTTGGCCATGGCTCTCTCCACCGCTTCGTACATCTGCGTGTTCTGGATCCCCAAGCCACAAAAGATGACGAAAGCTTCCAGAAACTGTTCATCGTTTCGGTTGAAAGGCTTAACTTTGCCAGTGGTTTCCTCCATCTTATTAACAAGTTGGCAAACCCCTATAATAATCCAAGAAATTGAACAGATGTTACTATTCATAATCACAATATGCACTGACTTAAACACAGGCCCCCAAAGGTCTAGGGCTTTTCTTTTAGGAGTGCTTGGCATCTCCAAATAGGCAAAAGGATCCTCACACATATAAGCTAGAACAATGAACTGAGTTAATTTACATGCAAACTTGTTTCACACAGTCCTAAATGTATGTTGTCTATGTTCAAAAAGATCCTAGAGTACTATTTGCTTCCAGATTCTGTCACAAGTTTTATATCAGTTGAATCCCCAAAGACAATTTGTCCTTTGGAGACTAATTGGATTTTTGTACTCTTGCCAAGAGAACAATTTTGATGCACATCAGAATTTTGGGTCACCCAGGCTGCCTTTCCTTACTGAGAAATCAGAAGTTAAAAAACACAATTATCCACAAAACAGAATGCAGGAAACAGTTCACAGAGACAGTCTCAAATTCCAAGTATGTACCTCTGCATCCAGGAGAATATTTCCAATCATTTTTGATACTGCAAATAAATGCATGTAGAAATGACTATTTACTTAGATATAAGAGCAGAATTAATCTTTGAAGAAAATCATAACCAAACCTCCCAAGTCCTGGTCTTCCTTAGAAAGTCAAACACATAGTATATATAAATGGAAGACTATGTCAAATCGTAATTGAACTCGTTGTTCCGTGGTGCTCCGGTCTTAAGGGGTCTCTGCGAGGAGTCTGATGACCTTGTACCTCTGGGTAACAGTGCTGCTAACGTCCTGTCTCTTCTGTGTCTACATACATAACACAGACTTCCACCACGGCCCACTGTGAAGGAGGCGCAGTGCTCGATGCTTCAGGACACACATGGACTCCGGTCTGCATGATTCACACTAGGAGAAAGGGGCGCTCGCATCCGCTTTAAAGATGAAGACACTGATTCTCAGGAAGGTCAAGTCATGTGCTCCAGGGTGCTCATGTTTAAAATTGAAACCCCAGCTCAGCCTAGCCCCAGAGACCAGATTATTACCGTAGAGCTGCCCTGTGCCTTTTACCCCTGTCTGATGGCTGCTGGCAGTTTCCTGACTGCCTCTTGCTCACCCACGCCTTTGCCTGTAGTCTTCCACTGGTCCCAGTCTCTTTCCTGTTGTCCAGGAGATCCCTGCATGTAGATCCCTACCTGCCCTTCACAGGGAGCTCCCAGAGGCCTTCTACTTCCCCAGGGGAGGCAGACACCTCTCCTATCTCCTTAACTTTTATCAGCTGGAGGATCATGGGGAGCTTTATTTCTGTCTCTCTTTCTAGACTGTACATATCCTGGGCTTAAGAGATTTTATTTTTCAGTTCCATTTCCTTAGCTAGCCAGGCCTGGCACAGAGCAGGACTCAAAAAATGTTTACCAAATTAACGAAAGGATGCAAGACTACAGTTCTGACCCAATTACTTTCCCATGAAGATTGTGGTTGGCTATCTCTTTATTTTTCCTGGAGCACAAAAGGATTTCAGAGAGTGTGAAATGATGCCTGGTTGCACATGTAGTCCCTTTATCACCACTGGTGTGCACTTTATTTTTAACACTACAAATTATCTGTATCCTCCTTCTGCTCTTTGTTTGTGGGAGTTTTTCTATTTAGTAAAGCCATCCTTATCTACCAGTATCACCACTGCAGAGGCTATGTCTCTAACACTTATTCCATCAAGAAAAACTTAAAATTTGGACACTGAAAGTAAAAACCATGAGTAAATGGCAATCAGCATGCATCATTTTAAAAGACCACATACCATGTACAGTGCAAACACAAGGGTTATGTCCTCCAACCTTTGTGAATCCCCAAATTATAAACATGGGACTGTTTATGTAGGCATCTGGCTATCTCCCACATCACATGTTCTTGAGAGTCATGCATTCCTTATCTTCATAGCACAATGTAACAGCTTTTCAGTTGTTACTAAGTTTTCTCCTGCTTGATGGCCACTTTTCATAAACAGGATTTTTCTTTTTGTCACTTCATAAGATTGACTGTACATATGGAAAGGAGAAGACAAGCCATGGTCATCACCCAGTCTGCTAGGCTTGGGGCCGAGGTAAGGAGCTCCTTCCTGGACAACGGTTCAAATCTAAGCCTCAGTCAATCATTGAATGAATACATTGTTGTTTAGCCGCTCAGTCGTGTCTGATTCTTTGCAACCCCATGGATCACAAGGCTCAATCTGGCTCACCAGGCTCCTCTGTCCATGGGATTCTCCTGGCAAGAATACTGGAGTAGGTTGCCATTTACTTCTCCAGGGGATCTTCCCAACCCAGGGATCGAACCTGTGTCTTCTCCTGTGGCTCCTGCATTGCAGGCAGATTCTTTACTGGTGAGCAACCAAGGAAGCCCAGTAAGTGGTATTAATTAATACCCCAGGAATTGAAAGGTACTAAAACGGCATATTCAGCATACAAACAGCAGGAGTTGTCTGTACCAACCACATCTTAGGGCAGAACAGCGAGCACGTGTCAGAACCCACCTCGACAGACAGGCAGACACAGAGTAACACTCAGGATAAGAAAAGGGGAGAGGACAAGTGATCCCTTTCGGCAGACAGGGTAATGCTCAGCATAAGAAAATGCATGAGGACAAGTGATTCCTTTAGGAATATACTTTTGATTCTTCTTTGAAAGCAGTCACATTTATAGAGAGCATTCATCATAATCTCATTGATCTCTTTACCCTTCATAAAATTTAACTCTATTAAACAGAAATACCTAAGTTGGAAAAAAATCTATGAAGAATAAAAAGGTTTATAACAGGGTTCTTTGAGAAAATGTAAAGCTTGGACCCATTTACAGACAGTTTTCACAATGTGTTTCTTAAAGATGTGGAAGAATGGATGAAGAGTATAGTAATGAAATTTAAAACTGGTTATTTGAAATGCCACATCTACTAGCAAGTGATATAAAATCAGAAGCACTTATATATAAAAACAAAGTAGTCACTGCAGAACCAAAATTAAAACAGAATCACTCAGCCAAAATCAATCACTATGTACAACCACAAAATAAAATATTCAAAAACATATTAGGTGAAACCAAGTAGCACAGTTAGATAATAAAATATCAGTGTTATGTAATATTATTAGTTCACAAAGTACTTGTACAGACATTATTTCACACGCTCACAAACAGCAGCTCTGAGAGCTGAAGGCCTCTGGAAATTATGCTGAAGGGAACTAGGTAGTTTCTCAAATCACACACTGAGGTTTCCTTTTCTATAACTCCAGGGGTCAGATGTTCTTATACCAACCAGTTTTCCTGCTGGCTTTGTGGCAGAGCAGGGCGTCACCTCTTACATTCTGCCTGTGGTCTCAGGCCTTCTTTCCCACACAACATGGGGAGATGCCCAAAATGTTAATATTCACGGCTCAGACAGTAAAGAATTGGCCTGCACTGTGGGAGACCTGGGTTGGATCCTTGGTCAGGAAAATCCCCTGGAGAAGGGAATGGGAAGCCACTCCAGTATTCTTGCCTGGAGAATCCCATGGACAGAGGAGCCTGGCAGGCTACCGTCCATGGGGTCACAGAGATTCAGACACGACTGAGTGACTAACACACACAAGACCTGCCCTTTTATACCCTTCTGACCTACCTCGCAAAAAATTTTTTTCAAGATATTTTCTTCAAGATATTTGCCAATTATCTTAATTTAGGGAGTTTCTCGCTGTAGAAAAGATTTAATTTCTCAAGTAAGTCATCTTTTAAGTTTTCAACTATAGTGTCTTGCTTTTAAAAGAAGCTTCCTGTTTTAAGATTACATATAAACCAATATTTTCGAGCACTTTTACAGATTCATTCTATCATATTTAATCTTCTAATTCTACTTAATCTCCCACCCCCCACTAAATTGCTACTGGATTCTTACGAAAATTAAATAGTTATTCATCCTTTAATAATTTGTCACCTCAAATAATAAATTCATATTATTTCAACAATGTGCTTTTTTCACATTTAAATTTTATGAAATCAGTTTGCATTGTCATCAATTGCTTGTAATGGTGTAATGGAAATCATGTTTTTCTTTCTTTGAGGTACATAAAATGGTGTCTTTCAACCAATGACATCTTAGAAACAGAATGTAGTCTATTATATACCAACACAAATTATATCGGACTTGGGTCGGCATTTAGACTTTCTATTGTGTTCCATCAATCTTGCCATCTTTTTGAGCACACATTTAATACTTTTAGTTATGTTACTTATACAGCATTATTTTAATTTCTGATAAGGCAATTCTCTATCCATCAACTCTGATTATTTTACACTATCCTTCCAGAAGAATTTTATAAATAATTCTTTTTATATGTTATCCTCCAGATGAATCTTTTATATGTTTGTTAAGAACTCCCTTCCCCTTGAAAAACAATCTTATCAGGACGTGTATTAAAATTGAAATAAAACCTAATCTGCAAAAACTTAACATCTTAAAAAAATTCAGGGAATGTTTTGTCAGTTCATGTACTAAAGATTTTCAAGTTATCTAGTACAGTTTTATAGTTTTCCTCACATAGATGTTCCTATTTCTGACAAAGTTTACTCCTTGTTACTAAATGGGATTTTCTTCCATTATTATTTTCCAACAAATTTGTCTTGCCATGTAAGAAAGTTATTCTCCTTTAACGATTTGAAAGCCAGGCACTTTTGCAACTCTCTTTTTAGACAGCTACTTTCAGCTGATTCTCCTGGGTTTTTCCATTTAACAATCGTATCATATTGTAAGTTATTTTGCTATTTCCTTTTCCATACCTCACCTTATTTCATCCTTTCCTGTCCTCTGGTTGCTTTGGTAAGAATTTACTTTGGGTAATAGTGTTCTTTTTTTTTTTAATGACTTAAAAAATATAACTTTTTCAACTAACTTCCATGAGAAATTTTAAACTCTCTTTAGTATTAAGTTAGTAAGTAAGTAAGTGTGAGTCGCTCAGTCGTGCCCGACTCTTTGCGACCATATGAACTGCCGCCGACCAAGCTCCTGT